GAGGGCTTACGCAGTCCAGGAGTTGTCTATATATACTCCCATAGTGAAACACCCAACAAAGGTAGAAAAAGACAGCTAGGTTACTTAATGTAATCATTCTACATACTGTGAACACATCATAAGTCCTAAGAATGACTGAATTATTTGAAGCCGAAAATAATTCAGTCAGTGTCTCACTATCTTATACTACAACAAATCTAAGATTGGCCTAAATCTGTATGCATGCACTGTCCCAGTGGTTTGTTTCAATAGTTGTTTTAATCTTCTGTGTCTTGTCATGTCACCAGATATTTTTTATCTTTTATAGAGCCTTTATCCAGCAGGAAGAACCTTTTTCACAAAAGTAATGATGCAATCGCAGGACAAAGAGGCAGTGAAATACTTGCTATCGGTGTGTGGTATTTCATAGCCTTAGTAAAGAAAGTTTGTCAATAATGAACTTGTGTGTGGTAAAAAAAAATGTTAGTAATAACCAGGCCTGGCCTAAGTTCACTTCAGATTTGACTGGTTGCAAAAACTGTAATGTATAATGTCAGCAATTCATTTATCATTTACTGAGTAATCATTGCTATATTTTGTTTGATAATTTAAATATGATTATGTTTCATGTACAAAAGAATTGTGTTTTTCTGAATTGGACCCACCACTGACATAGTAACATTAATCTGCAATTCAACCACAATAGTGGCAAGATGGAAAAAAACATTAAATGTCAACAGCAAGTTCATGCTAGGAGCAGAGACATGGCAAAGGTTGAAGGTAATGTTTGCAGGTATTCATAATAACTCAAAGTGTATTTATTTTTAACCCAAGAGGTTTCTTCACTGAAAGGTGTAGAATTAGTAAAATACTGTATGTCTCTGGTTCTACCATGACAGTGAACAACAACAGCAGTTATATGGCAGATTTACCAAAAGGTTTGACTTAAAGCTCCATTAAGTGATATTTTTAATATTAAAATTGAGTCAAGTAATGTAAAATGTTGTCAAGAGTCAATACCCAACTAGTGACTACTATTTACTAAAAATGAGCTGATTGGATGCTGCTTGCTTAAAAAAATAAATAAATAAATAAAGGTAGAAGCTTGATTCCTGTTCTTCCTGGTTCAACTAACTGAACATAGCTTAATGTCAGCTAGCTAAAATTTGGTAATTATCATTCAGTTAACTTCGTTCAGGTTTTGATTTGATCATCTTCAACAAACTTATCTTTAATAAGTGCACACTATATTTTAAAATAGAGAGAACATGAGTGGAATGTTGAAACCCTGGGAGAACCTCCATTTGGTCACATTTACTTGCTGCTACTAATTCATCCCATTTGTCACGCTCCTGCCCCTCTTGCTTCCTGTCATGTTTTTGTTTTCACATTACTTCCTGTTTTGTTTCACCTCAGTTTTGGCCCTTTTATTTAATCATCATTAGTTCACCTGCTCCTTATTGTTTGCACCTGTTTTTTACTTCTATTTAGGCAGCGTCCTCCCACCAGGACGCTGCCAGATTATTCTAGACCCCAGTTCTGACTCTCCAGCATTTATACCTTGCCTGACTCTCTGTTTCTGACCTTGGATTACCGTTTTTTGACCACCATGTTTTGTCTATGCCCTCCCAGATTCTGATCGCCTGCAGTGTACCGACCTTCTGATTTTGTCCCCCTTGACCTCGAGTTTGGATCCCCTGGCTATACCTGTTTACCGGCGCCGACCCTGGACTGTCTTATCGACCTGATTGATATCCTGGACTTTGTGTTAGTTGTTTTGCTTACAACAAGTAAAGAACTTGTTGCTACCTCGGTTCGTTTGGTTTTCTAATTGAGTTCACCACAACCTCTGTTTGGCATCTGTACACGCCAAACCTGACACCATTTGGATCTGCCCTGTTCACTTTGAGCTGGTACTTATATCCTGTTGGACCATGTTGGATATAAGTCATATGACTTTATTGTCTAATGCTTGCCAGTGCTTGTGTCTAAATAAATTAATACATTTTGAAAAGAGGACTCCTTTGGGTTGTTCAGGTTGCTCTGTTTTATGTTAACAGACCTGTCATAAACTTGATTAGCCAATATACTGGAGTATTTGAGACTCCTTTCTAGGAGTAACTATTGCCCTCTCGTGTTCAAAAATCACTTATTGCAGCTTTAACTTCAAATACAGGTATCTGCAAAAGTTAAATTTCAGGACTGTCTGACAGAGACAACAACACAGAGAGACAAAGAAGAAAGAGAAGGCAGGGGAGACAGAACCATTCAGCCATTGGTAGTGTGCTGAAAAGACACAAAAGTGAGAAACAAACTTGTGACCAGAATGCAACTCAACGCACACACATGCAAACACACACACGAATCATTATTTACATTAAGACATAAAAAATTAGCTGTGAAGCAGTCTGTAAGTATTAAAATAGTGACACATTTTCATGGGGTTGTTTCTGTATTACAAAATATTGGATTAAAAATGAAAAATTTAAATGAAGGGCTTCAGCTATCCTTCAGTTAGTGGGAAGTTTTTGACTGCTCAAGTCACTCATCTGGTCTTAGGACAAGAAAATGGTTGCAGTATAGGCCTTATCAGTGACGTGCGGTCAGGGGAGGCAGGTGAGGCAGAGCCTCCCCTGTCAATCTTGAAAAGAAAAAAAAAGTTAACCATAAAATATAATAAATGTTAATATTTGTCGGCTGGTGTGTGTTGTAGGCCCTTTTGCCGTTCAAGGAATTTTTTTCAATAAAGAATAGCAGAATTTCCGTATGTCCCGTTCAAATACATGGAGGAGATGCGCGATGAGGCAGCACTTTGCTGTGCCTCTCGGTGGATCGTGTAATCCTCACAAACTGTATGCGATGCAAATAGTGTGTCGCTGTCTATATATCGCAAATAAAATGTTTTCAAACACTCTGATTATATGCTCTGCCTTGCCATAATCTGGATAATGTATAAAATGTAGTTCTGTAACGTGTTTAGGCTCCAGATTAAC